CTGGAAGTTTCTTTTTGCGCTTTCAGAAATAGGAATAGGCAAGGTTAAAGACTCATTTTCCTAAGGTTCACTTTAAGGAAGGAGTAGTTCCATATTTATTTCCCACCCCAAGATAATTGTTACTAAATCTGAATAGGTTCTAAATTGTATGAAGGAGTTGGGCATACTTGGGATCCCCTTACACCACGTTCGTGAACGCTGCCTTTCCATATTTTTCTTAACATGGAAACGTTTCTGAAATGCGCTTTTCTAACCTTCCTCAGTCAGGTGCACTCCAGATTCGTAGGTCTGTAATTTCCATTGCTGGTCAAGCGACGTCATTGGCGGGTCTATCAGGGAATAGTTGCAACCATCTAAGCCAGAGGTCCCCAAACTTGGCAACTTTAAGACTGGTGGACTTCAACTCTCAGAATTCTCCAGCCAGCGAATGGAGAATTCTGGGAGTTGAAGTCCACCAGTCTTAAAGTTGCCAAGTTTGGGGACCCGATCGAAGCAATAAATCGGGGAATCCAGACATTTCTTTTCAAGGGGAAAGGAAAACGGGAAACTGTTTGCCCCTCTGACCCTGGACCCTTACCCTATTTTTCTTCGGAATCGTTAGCTGCTTCCAAAATGCCGTGGAGCACTACGGAGTGCGGATCCGACGGCGAAGGAAACTTCTCCGAGTGCCAGACTCCAGACGACGGTGGAAGCCGAAACGCGAATACTCGCCGTTTGCGCACCGCTTTCAGCTTGGAACAGATCAGCACCCTGGAGAGTTCCTTCAAGCGGCACAAATACTTGGGAGCGGCGGAAAGACGCAAATTGGCCAGCAAAATGCAACTCTCTGAAGTGCAGGTAATGCGAGAAGCCGGTCGAAAGATTTCTTGGGGGGAGGGGAGGGAGCAGAGACGTGTTCTATTTCCAAGATGCAAGAAAGGACATCTTTCTATAATCATCAGCATTCTGGACCCTAATCTAATTTTTCCAGAATTCCTTGGCCTATCACCCTTTCGATGGAAAGGGAAAAGAGATCTGGAAATGGGAGTTTTCAGCAAGGTTTAAGGACAGATGTTTGGGCTTTAAGATAGGCTAAGGCCAATTTAACAGGACTTTCATCCAGATGAGTATGAACTGAATTTTAACCAGTGTTGCAACTGCTTCTTTGGCGGGTAGGTTTATTTTATTGGGCTAATGTGCTGTCATTTAATGTATAGGGAGGGATATTCATTCCTTAACACATTTTCATTCTCCATCTGGTGTCCTCCCAATGTGTTACAAAAGCCATACCTAGTTTGTCTTCAGCTATGATGGTTAAGAATTCTAGGCAGGTTTTGTTGCCTTTGTGCATCTGGAAGGCACAAAGTTTTATAATATCATAAAACAGTATTCATTTCAGATCTTGATTAGAGCTGCCATTATATATCCTAACACTGTATATTAGCATTTGTTTCTTCACTCTATTGAAATATAAAGGGAGCAGAATGGGAACTCTCCACATGTGCTAATAAAGGATACTGATAGCAATAGCACTTAGACTTATAAACCATTTTACAGCCCTCTCTAAGCAGTTTCCAGAGTCAGCATATTTCCCCCAACAATTTGGCTCCTCATTTTACCCACCTCAGAAGGATGGAAGGCTGAGAAAATTTTGAGCCTAGTGAGATTCGAACTGTCAAATTGCAGGCAGCTGGCAGGCAGCAGAAGTAGTAATGATTCATCCTGTTTCTATTTCTACAGATCAAGACATGGTTCCAGAACCGACGGATGAAGCTGAAACGTCAGCTGCAGGAGATGAGGCCAGAATCATCCTTCCATGGCTTACCATTTTATGGTCACCTCCCTTTTGGACCCCAAAGTGGTCCTTTGTCCTATGTTTATTCACCACCTCAACAGACTTTCACCAGGAGGGATTCTTCTGGCATTCCTTTCCCTCCAGTGCCCCCTCTCAACCTGGATCCCAGAAATACTTCTGGAGGACAGCCAGGTACTATCTGGCCAATGCCTATTCCCTATTTTGTGGGCTACCAAGACCCAAGAACAGTGTTCATGACTCTATGAAAGACTTTAATGATGAATAACAGTCAATTTGCACTATTTTTTGTTCAAGAGATTACCAAGAGCTATATAAATTTTTGGTCCTGGACAGATATGCTGCAAAGAGCTATTTTTTTGCACAGACATCTACATATTGAGTGAGTGGGAAAGTGATACTTATGTAAAGACAATGTGTGCAGTATTGGGAATAGCGTCAACAAGATCTGGAGGATCTTTGTGATACAAATGAGGACTTGATCTGGAAGTATACAGACAACACATATTTTTTTCCTGGATGCATCAAAGGCAGCTGTTGTTGGGGGAAGCTAATCTTAAATGGGTTTCTCAAATTGCTTATGCTTGATAAGGAGTTAAAGAATTTTATGTTATAGGAGTTGTGCAAAAAGGACATGACACGTAAGTTACAAGCCATGTGTTTTTAACACTGCAGAAGCAATAAGAAGCAAGTTCTATTTAATTCTGCAAAAAAAATTAAAAAATGGCCCTTATTCACAACTAATAACAAATTAGCTATGTTGGCAAGTAATATATTCACAGGGTCTCCCCAGCCTTAATTTTTCATTAGCGTTACTGACACAATGCATGAAGTTATTGTTAAGTATTGTTAATTTGGAGTCCATTGTGGAGATGCTGAAAATAATATGAATATATGAAAGTAACATAGATTGAATCAGACCACTGGAGTCTCATTGTGATCATTGTAATCCCACCTGGCAGCATCTCTTTTGAATTTTAAAGCATTCACTTTTCCAGCCCTCTGGGAAAATGCTGCAATTTGAATCTGGACCTTTCTACACGGAGCATAAGTGCTCAAAGAACTATATTTTTTCCCCTCAGGGATCTGTATGGGAACCACTTGTGTTTGTAGCTATGCAAACATTGGATGGCATGGAGAGAACTATAATTGTAATAGTTATGTGCTTTTTAATTGTTCAGCCTTACACATTATTGGGATAATACTTGTTACTGCTGTACTTTCTAGATCAGAGTGGTGATAATCCAAAGCTGAGTTAGTGAAGCTGAGATAATGAGGTTTTTACAGGCTCCCTAAGGTTACATTTGGGTGCCAGATAATCATAAATATCCAACTGGTTGATAAACTTGAGAAATCAATCTGGATTGCAAGGCAAATCTCCTTTAAAAATGACCTCATTCTCTTCTTTATTGAGTTATTTCAAGCTATAGAATCAATTCACACAAGGACTCCATCCAATTCTTCTTTCTCCCTTTAGAAAAGAAGTCAGATATATTCACTTTAGCCAGGTTTCCACATTAAGCTAGTTCGCCAAGATACTCTTAATCCTACACAGGAAAAGACCTGAACACACCTAGACCTACATACCTGTACCCGTGAAAATCTACGAATATTATATATATATATATATATATATTATATATATATATACACATATACATATACATACATACATACATACACATATACATATATAGACACACACACACACATATATATAGACACACACACACACACAGAGTCTCATAATGTAGCATTATTATTTTGACCCTCTTCCCACCTCCAAATACCTGCTAGTCAAACCACCCTCTTCTCACATATTGACTTAATATTTGTATTTGGGTCAATAGAAAGTTTTTAAGAAAGTTTCTGGAAAAAAGTGCTTGGGACTTTTAACCCTTTTATCATGAAAAACAGAAAGAAAAAGGGGGTGTTATAGAGGTAAAAGTTAAAGGTTGTACAGGTAGTCCTTGACTTACAAACTACAATTCAGCCCAAATTTTCCATTGCTAAGTAAAACATCTGTTAAGTGAATTTTGCCCCATTTTTATGACTTTTCTTGCCACTCTTGTTAAGTGAATCTCTGCAGGTATTAAGATAGTCATCCGGTTGCTTCCCCATTGACTTTGCTTGTAAGAAGGTCTCAGAAAGTGTTCACATGACCCGGGACATCTGAAACCATTCATAAATATAAGCCAGTTGCCAAGCATCCAAATTGTGATCATGTGACCACGAGGGAGGCTGCAATGGTTATAACTGCGAAAAACAGTCATAAGTTGCTTTTTTTCAGCGCTGTTGTAACTTTGCACGGTCTCTAAATAGAATGGTTGTAAGTCAAGGGACTTCCTCTACAGTGCATGATATTTATTTATCAAGTCTGTTGATGGGACTACAAGGAACTTGCAAACTAGGGCAGGTTTATCCCTGCCAATTACCTTCAAAGTAAATGAGTTCCTTTGAATCAGCCTTGCACAAGTCCATGCATTTTTCTTGGTCATATTTTGGAAGTGTCTTGCTTTACCTTCTTCCTAGGGCTGAGAGTGACTAGCTACATGATAAGGTTGGACTAGAATTTCCTTGTTCTTTTGACTTTAATTCAAGGCCTTTAACCACTACACCAGACTCTCTGCCAATTACCTTAGGGGTTTACTATTTTTTTTTAATCTTAGGGAAAAGATTGTTCTTCACTTTTAAGTGAGCTGCTCCAAAAATACCCTTGCCCCTGCCAGCCAAAATAATTGGCATGGTCAGGATAAAAGCCTAATGGATTTGACTCTGTTACCTCTAATTACAATGATATATAGTGTATTATTACCACTAACAATTTTTCTCCTTCCATGATATTAAAATACTACCAAGCTTTAACTCTGCTTTTAGCCTTTTTAAATTTTTTTACATCAGTCAGCCACCTAATCATAAAACATTAGCACTTTAAATAAAGTGGTTTTTAAATGGTCATTTCATTTTGAATCTTGGAAATATATTCCAGGAGCAAGACTGATTATATGGTGATTGCTCTGCTTTTGTTTAAATATCATGGGCTAAATACAGATAATTAATACTTTTAAACCAATAAATGTTGATTGAAAGATACAGATGAACTCAGGGTGAGACTATATTTTGGAATTTCACGTTCGTTGTTTTTTTTCATGATGTTTATTTCCACCTAATAAAAATGCTATTTTTATTTGAACTGCTTTAGTCATTCATTGGTTTTCACCTTTTGATAAAATGTTCTGGATATCTTTGGGTTTTGTTCTTCCCCCTAAGGATTGGAATTGACAAACAAGGATTTCCCCAAAAATTATTCCATTCAAATCTGGGCTAAACTGTGGCCCATATAATCAGTTACATGCACATCACACACACATGCAAAGCATACTTTCACACCTACAAAAATGTATGCCTTTCCCAGATAACTTTCAATAGCCAATTAAAAACAACTTGGATAATGCAACTTTGGGAATATCTAGAAATAAGCCCTATGATATACTCAGGAATTATAGGAAGAAATGTGAACACATTTCTCAAATCCAATGCTGTGACTATGCTGCTACCAAGCTGAAACTGTACGGGTAAACGTAATCATATGTTTCAGCCTTTCCTTGTTGCCGAGTTACCTATTCTCATTCTTCAGATAAATCTGATCTAATATCCAGTATATTAAAATCGGCATTGCGCAAGCCTTTCTGCAATTGCATTTGATTTTTAGGAATGCCTAACATAAGTACATGGTGTTTGAGCTTCTCTCGCCCATGATAATGAATCCAGTCTGCATCCTGTATTCCTTAAATTAACTACAATCCCATATGCCTATAGTACATAGCACATATACTTGTTTCTATGCAGCATGCAAAATGGCCAGGATAAATGGCATGTAGGCTATTACATATTCCAGGTATATTTCCAGATGTTACTAGTGAGTGGAGTCAAGCAAAGAACAATTGAAGGTAATATCTTGATATGGAGAGTAATAGATGGTCAATGAAATTCTAGAAACAACTATTTAAGGGGGTAGGAGTAAACCTGAAAATCAAGATAAGGTCTAAAGTCATGATAAGGTCTTAAGCAAAAGAAAGCAAAGTTAAAGGTAATGATTTGAAAAATCCTAATGTGTCCAAATGAATTCAGTAATTTTCCAAGTCATCTGTAATCATCTATCATTGCCAAAGGGTTCTACAAAAAATGGACAGGCTCCCATGCTTTCTTTGCCAAATTTTACAAACTGAATAAACCTTTGGGATTGGGTCTTCTTAAAATAATGAAATAGTTAATACGTTGGATATTATCACTTAATTTTTAACCAACAAAACTTGCATACCATCTCCTGATTTTTAACAATTTTTTTTAAAAAAATGGAATACATTCATCATTCTAGTATTTTAAAATTTGTCAACAGAAATCTAATATGCACATTTCACACTAGAAGGGACAACCAGGGACAGAAACACACTGTATAGTTGAAGTTTACTTTCTATATACTAATAGCACCCTTCAATTAACTGTTGTGTACCAGGTGTACCAGTTGGACAACCACCTTAACAAACTACTGCAATTCACTCTGCCTGTTGAAGCTGATGGGGGCTGAGGTAAAAAACAAACAAACTAGAAAAGCGCTAGCTTGTCTATCCTTGATACACAAGAATGACCCCTATCTTCTAGCAATGGCATGTTGATGTAGACAACAACAATGAAATAAAGCTTTCAGCTCTTAAAAGAATGAAGACTCCACTCTTGATATGAAAGAATTACCAGATGAGACTGATGGCCAGTCTTTTGATTCAAAGAATGAAGAAGTTGAAATTTGGACCCTAGGAGCAGACAAATGCAAAAAGAAAATAACACTTAGCAATAGAAGTCAGCCTTATCAGTCAGATTAAAGGTTTTTTCTCTCTCTCTCTCTCTCTTCTTTTTTCAGGCTGAGCTCAAGCTATCTTCTTTTATCTATGCTGACATAAAGGAGAAATTGTAAGATAGAAATCTTGGTTGATTGTAAAGTAAATACCAATAGGTTATCTCACATCATATCTGCATGCAGGCTGAAGATAATAGGTACTTCTAAATTCCTACAGGCAATGTATCCAGGTTAGACAAATGGTTGATTGAATTATTTTATGGATTATCTGAAGTATTGAAAAAATGTTCAGAAGTGGATTTAGGAAGGACCATATAAAATTTCCCAGCGGGGGGTGGGGGTATCTTTTCCCTTTAGTGAAGGCAATTTAAGCAAGGGAAAAAGCTTTTCAAA